ATGAAATAAGCTATGTTGAGAGCACAGGAATCGAATGGGTTACTGAGGCCTGCAATACTCCAGAAATGGGAGTAAGGAGGGTCTGGACAGGTGGCTCCCAGGTGACAGTGGGAATGGAGAAGTGACGTGCTTAGAATCCACCGGACTTGGTAACAGTAACAGATTTGGTATTCAGGGCAATGAAGGGGGAAAGGGGAACTGAAAGATAAGGCCATGGTTCTGAATCTGGATGACCAGGAGAACCCTAATCAAAGTGTCCTAATAAAATCAGGGAAGTCAAAGGGAGAACTGAGCACTTTGTATCGTTTGGTTCAGGGAAAGGAGGGTGCAAATAAGATCCTGTCTGGACATGCTCACTGGAGGAGCCAGCTGCAAACATCTGGCACATAATCGGAAACGTCACTAGGCGACTGAAGGGGGCTCCACAGGAGGGTGAGATTTTAGTTCTCACAGTGGAGATGTGTCAGGCGGGTGACTAAACAAGATGAAAAATGGAAACAAAGAGGAAGACAGAATCTTGGAGAACGACTACATTTAGAGAGTGGGAATAAGAAGGGAACCTAATACAAGTGATTATCGGTCTGAAGAGAAGCAGCAAAATGTTAAGAGCCAGAAAGTCTGATACGCGTTTCAAAAAGGAGTAGCCATCTTTCACGCGCCAAACACTGAAAAGGACCGAGAAAGGTTAAGTACAGAGAAAAATAAAAGCCCACTGCGATGTGGCATTGAGGAGTTCTGTGATTTTAAAGAAATCACATGGCAAAGGTTTGGGAGGTGGCAAAAGAGAGGAGTCACTGACTTTAGCAGTCTTTTAAAAGATAGAAATTCACTCTCCTATCTCCAAGAATGAAAGTCAAATTCTAATGTAAATCCTGTGGGGTGCTGGTAAATCCACTGGCGGGGAAAGAGAGGAAAAAATCCCTTATTTATAGCATCTGATGACTCCCATGGTGTAAATACTACCACCATGGCTGATTTTGAGCTGCTGACGGGTATCAAATTCCTGAGAATTTGGCAATGGCTGCCAGTACAAGCCAGCTACAGCACACCGGTGCGAACTACCTATTTTATAGTCTACGCTGCAAGTGAGCAATGCTGTGACAGCTTTCCTCTAAACTCAACTGACACTCATGCTCTGGGACAACCTTGCGGCAATTCACGGAAGTCTACCCTACTCTTGTTACATGTAGCTTTCTTAACTTTATTGCAACTGAAAGGGATCAGATGTTGAAAGCCAATGGCTCCCAGGCATGCCCCTCTTCACTGAGTCACCAAGGAAGAAACAAGAATCATATGTTCCAAAAACCTTCCTAAAATGTTGTATAATTGTTTCCTTTGTTAGTGTCATCTTTCCATCTAAACCTGAAATGTCTTAAGGATAGGAAACTTGATTCAAGACTTCTGTTTTTCCACAATCCACTTGGCCGTTGGGATAATTCTATTGTTGGTTAACCAGAAAATTTTTTTAAACAGAGCTCTGTGTCAATGCAAGGGTTAAATAAGTGTCAGTTAAGTAAGCCAAAGGAACAAGAACAAAATGTCCCAAAGGAGTTGCCATCCCAGTGAGGGGCAGTGGAGATACGGAGAAAGCACCTTACACTAAACCCCGACACTTAGGGGCTCCAATTCAGCCCTACTCCTTGCTAGTCCCTGGGTGCTAGTAGCGGCCCAGTTGCAGGCCCAACTGAAAAATGGGAACAGCAATACCTAGCACATGGGGTCAACTTTAGGTTTAATATGAGCACATTTAGGAACACCCATCAGGAGCAGGTACTTGCTGTCCTGCTTGGTACAGTTCAGAAGGCCATATGAGTTTGGACACTGGCTGCCGCTCAAGTGTATTGCCAGGAGTACCAAGAAGGCCCACCTCTGTCGTGGCACTATGGCTAGTCAGCTGCTAAGGAATTTTTATAATCTGTCCCCAGTGACCTCCAGCCATCACCCAAAGCCACAAATTCCTTTCACGGCCAAACCCTGGACTTCCAAGCCCCCCTAAAACAGGGAGACAAAAGTGTCCACCAAAAAGCAGTCTCTAAAGAGCCAAACACCTATGACAAACTATATGGAAAGAAGCAACCTGTGAGGTTCCCACTTGTGTCCACATGACAATCAGCGACTCACATGAACAAGGAAGTTCAAAAACAAACCAAAACAATGGACCCGTTTATAGCATAAAAGAAACTCATGGGAAGAACCTAGCTTCTAATATTTGGTAACTCCCCCCAGCCCTGCCCCGCCCACACCACTATTTCCAAAAGCCGTCTTCATGGTGCTCCACATTCTCTTCCATCATCCGATTATGTCTCCCGTGCAAACTTATCCAGACACCTGAAGCAGAATTGTTATCCAAATGTTACACACACGGGGGAGCACAGAAGTTTGTTTACTCTCCAATACAAATGACTAGCCTGGAGAAAGAAGGAACTAAAGTTCACATTTTAGCTAGAATTTTCCCACTTAGCTACTATTTGTCTATTGACAAGGGCATGAAGTTAGTTACAAGTAAGAAGAAGAATGTAAACTTAGTATCTCAAAAAGCTTCACATTAGACAACCGTCTTCCAACTTTCAGTTTCCAACCTACAGGGTGTCCCCCCAAAATGTATACACACTTTAACAGCTGAGAGCTCAGTTTTGAAAATGAAATGTATTTCAATAAACACTGCCTTCATAATTATTCAAACTGTGTGTACACATTTTTGGGGGACACCCAATGTATGTGTCTTCTGGGACACACACACACACAGAAGGAGTTAAAGATTCTTCTTAACCTGCTATCCATATCGTGTTAAGTTCCTAAAAAGCACTTGTAAATTAAACGTTTTCTGAAACCCTCTCCCCTAACCCCCGTCCCGTCGCGACGGGCTCCTCCTTCCCTGGACACCCCCAGTCCCGCGGCTTCTGGGGCGAATTCGGGCCGAAGGCGGCGCCGCCCCTTCCTCCAGGCTCTGGGAGCTCGGCCGGGCGGCAGCTCGGTCCGGCCCCGGGCTGGACGGAGCGCCGCGCGCACCTGGAGGCGGGAGCCGCGCTCGGAAGTGGGCAAAGCCACTCGGTCGTTTCCGGCGACTGGAGTCAGGGGCGGGGACCGCGCCGGGGCAGGACGGGGGCCGGG